CCGTGATCAGTCACTGAGTAACCCCTGGCCCAGACCACAACCACATTCTGAACTTAGGCAGAGCTCTAGCCCCCCTAGAAACCCTCAAACTGGCCCCATCACCAGGAACTCTGCCTTTCCCGGAGACCCCCCACCAGAACACACTGGGTCCTGTGACCCTGGCCCAGCCCCCTCACCTCCCAGCTTTGGTGATGATCATCTCTGTTCCCACAGAATTGAACTCTTTCCACAGCTCCTGGTTCTCCAGGCTCAGGCTGACTCCAGGGAGTGAGTGAAGGGCCTCTGGGGCTGGAGGAGACGGCTCAGTGCCCAGGGCTGGGGGCAGAGGGGGAAGAGGTGGGGGAGCCGCCAGGGTGCGGGGAGCAGCCTCAATCCCGGAGAGGAAGCAATCCAGTTTGGGAGTGTCCAAATCTGGAGATGGGGGGAGAATGAGGAGCCAGCCCAGGTCCACAGCAACCCTCAATCCCTACGCAGGAGCTCCTCCCAAAGCTCACCGGGGTAGCGGTAACCCTCTGCCAGGGCAGGCGGGAAGCTGGAATCGGTCACTGGCTGGGGGGGCCCAAGGCGGTAGCCGGTCCCCAGGGAGGGGTACAACTCTCTTGGGTGATACATGGAGTAGTCCTGTCTGGCCTCAGGTCTGGCTGCCTAGAGTCCCCTGGTGCTGGGAGATGCCCCCTTTATAGCTCACAGCTCAGCCCCTTCCAGACCCAGGATCACAGCCCCTCCCTCTTTGGGGCCCTGGAGTTGGGCTGGGGTGGAGACCCCTGGGGCCTGGAAGGGGTACAAGAGGGGGCCGGATACCTGGGCACCCTCCCCCGCAGGCTTCATTAGCCTCGACCCCCTGCCCCTCATTACATAATTAACTCCTCGGCCTGATTGATCCCCGGCACTTGGACAGGGACGCAGTTTGGCGCTTCCGGCCAGCTGGTCCCCGTTCCCACGGGGGGAGCCCCAGCTAGGGCTAAGCTACTGAGGGGGCGGGGCCTGCACCCTGGGATGGAGCCTGGAGTCCTGGGGCAGACCTTGGCGGCTCAGACTCCTAGCAGGTGACCCCCACCACCCTCACTGGGAGGATGGGGCTTGGAGGGAACGAGCCGGCTGGCGGGATGGAGCCCGAGCATATTGTTACGCAGGGCGCTGGAGTCCGCAGCCGAGGGCCGAACCCTGGAGCCCTTCCTGGTTTTCATTCTCCACCTTCATTCAAGTCTCAAAAGTTCACAGGTCTCCACAGCTCTACAGCCCCCAGCCGGCTGCTGCCCGGGTTTTTCAGAAGGTCCCGTGCTGGGGAGCCCTGGGAACTACACTTCCCAGCAGACCCAGCGCCAACTTAGCCGCAGAGAAGATCGAGAGATGCCGCAGGGGCCGCTGGGTGGTGGCAAAACGCTAAGGTTAAGACGATCGACCGAGATCAAGGTCTAGGGAGCCAGGGTGGGCTCCGGAATCACGGGCAGTGAGACCTGTCCCGGGTCCTAGGGAAGATGGCTGAGGCCAGGCCCCAGGAGCGCAGACTCCCACCTTTAGCCGGTGCCTACCTACCTGCTGCCCCATTGGGGCTCAGATGGAAACAGGTCTATAGAGGCAGGATTCTGCACTTGAGTTCCCCCTTCCCGATTCCACATAAGCCTGGGGCTGTCTCCGCTTCATTGTTTTATTATATACAAACGCTACAGAACTAGGGGAGGGGACACGCGTGCGGTAAGAGGCGCCCAGTGGGAGGAGTTCACAGGGCAGACGCTGCACTGGGCTAAGAGAACAGCACACAGGGCCATATCGATGGGGTAGGCGGGGCGGGAAGAGGTTAAAAAATGAGATCCAAGCCAGCCAGATCGCAGGGAGGTGGGGGTGGTGGTGTCCCACCTTCTGATCTCCCCCCAAGGTCACAGTGCATGCAATAAAATATATGTACAGGAGCCGAGTCCTTCCTCTGCAGGGGCTCTGCGGGTCCAGAGCTCCCTTCCGGCAGGGAAGGGAAGCCAGTGGCGCCCCCTGGCGGCCAGGCCGGGCTGGAGCCACATGAGGCAAGAGTGGGGGTCAGTCCCAGCCGTTGTCTTTGATCATGTGGTTGAGTTCAATGATGTACTTCCCCTCTTTGTACTTCTGGCTGCTCTCGAAGGCCTGTTCCTAAAAGGAGGGGAGAGCCTGTCATCCCTGGAGCAAGGGCCTTACCAGCAGGGATAGAGGTTGGGGCATGGATATGACTGGCCCTATTTCATATCTGAGGAAGCTGTCACCCAGAGAAGCCAAGCCATCTGCCCACAGACACAGAGCTGTTAAGTGGCAGGGTCGAGTTTCTCACTAGTGGGATACACAGAACTCCCTGAATAGTGGGTGCTTTTAAAAGCGCTAATGTTGGCTCCAACAATGAGGATATGTAAGTGTCTACAAGACCCAGGGATTACAAACTGGTAGCCCGAGTGCCAATGTTGGCCTACATGTGTGTTTGTTGGCCAGTAGGGAATTTAATAGAAATAACTGAATTACTAACATAGAGGCAGGCTGTGCTGCCTCCAATCTATGTTGCCCCTTTTGCAGATCCACAGTATCTGCTTGGCCCTGCAAGCACTTGAGTTTTTGACATCTACACTGGCCACCTCTTTGTTTTACAAAGTTCCAGGGAGGCCAAGCCACCTGCACAGGTACACAAAGCAAATCTGTGGCAGGCCCAGGGGTGAACTCTGGTCAGGGCTGCCTGTCTGCCTCTGCCTGGGGCATCCACATCACCAAGGCCCCACAGCTCCAAGCAGCTGCAGTTTCCCAAGAGCATCTTCTGCTGCTGCATCTAATCTGATCTCCATAACAGTCTTGGGTGCCAAGTGGTGGCTTTATCCTCCACTGCCAGGTAAGGAAATGCAACTCGGAGCAGTGAAATCAGACCCTGGACAGCAGCAGTGGTAAGGAGGGCAGTGGAAAAGGAGGCACATGGACCCAAGCTCTGTGTTGCTGTGGGGTCTTGGGCAACCTCTCTGACCCTCTGAATGGTAATAGAAGCTGGGGTCAAGGGTTTGGAGTTAAAAACAAAACGAAGTAGGACTCTGGTCCCTATTATGTTACTTGCTGGATGTGTGACCTTGGGCAAGTTACCTAACATCTCTGGGCTTCCTTCTTTTGTAAAGTGAAGAGAAAGTAGACTCTACCTATAGGATTGTTGTAATTACTGTTGTGATGCACATAACAACAAGCATTTTTGGTAATAAATGGTAATTCTGATTATATCATCATCTCTAAAATGGGGTGCTTGTGCCTGTGAGGAGATGGATGGGTTAAGAGAGAAAAAAAAAAGCCTTTGTCTGATGTGAGAGATGAAAACATGGTCAGGGGATGAAAAGACTGTTTGACTTGTGTGAGCTGGGCCCATACACTCTGAAAGATTATCCGATGACTGCTTGTGATGTGAGGTCATGTCAAAAGCTAGCTTGGGGTCAGAGGTCACTGACTCACATATTTCCAGCCCAAAGTGGTCTTGCAGTTCTCGCAGTGGATATCAGCGACAGCATGAAGGCCTGTCAGCAGCACCCGCTCCTCGGCTGGCCCGCAGCCCACGTTCACCCTGTGGGGACATGGGGGCAGTCCCAGAGAGGGTCCCGCCATCACAAAGCCCAACTCTAGCTTGTATCCAACTGTGTCTGTCCTTAGCTTCTTGCCTGAACCAGGGGGCTTTGAGAGTCTCAGCATGGTGCCATGGGTCACAGGTCACAATAGAGGTCAGGAAAAGAAAGACAGGAGGCCAAATACTCACACAGAATTGAAGAGGTAGGCACGCCCCTGACTGCCCTGGAAGGACTAAAGGATGAAAGGGAGAGAAGAGGGGGTCAGGGTTATTGGTGGGGAGCTGCCAAGCAGCCCTCAAGCCTCCCATTCCAGCCCCAACTATGATCCGGTTACCTTGGAGATGAGGTCGTCGTGGTTGGCCAGGTGAGCACGGCAGTGGGCACAGCTATACCTCCGGTGACAATCATCCAAGTAGGCCTGAAACGTCTTGGGTTTTGAAATCCGCACCATGGCGGGGGCCAGGGGCAGTGGCCCCACGCGGGGAGCGGCCCACGGAGAGCAGAGGGAGCCCAGTGCCTGTTGGGGAGGGAGGGAGTGTATTGTCAGGACCCCAGCCACACACAAGCAGGCACGCCCAGGGCCACGGGGACTCTCTCAGTGTCACACTTGGCTGCTGTCTCCTCTCCCCAGAGCCAGCAGCCTCTCCAGGGGCCAGAACTGGCTCAGTTTTGACTCACTGAAGAGGCCTCAAGTTGCATCATTGGGGAAACTGAGGCTAGGAGGAGCCCAAGATGAGTCACCCACCTGCTTTCAGCCTCACCCCAGCTGACCTGGCAACTGAAACTGGAGGAAGGGGCTCTAGAGTGGATGAGCTGTCAGCTCTGTTTAGGGGAGCAGGAAGTGGCTAGGAATTGGATGGTCTTTAGGACCTCAGCTGAACTGCGGGGGACGGAGCTGGGGGGCGACTGCAAGTACCATACAGGGAGCTCACCTGGGGGAAAGGTCCCGCACCCGGAGGAGGCTGGGGCCTCCCCGAGGTTGGAGGGTCACCGAGGGGGTGGAGCTCTTACCTGGGGACGCCGAACCTCGTCTATGCCGAGGGGCTCTTACCTGCATCGCGGAGCCTTACCTGAGACCCGGGGCTCACCCTGGGGGCGCGGGGTGGGGGGCGGGCGCCGGGGAAGGGGACAGTCCTCGCTGGCGGGGCGGGGCGCGGGGCGACGCGCAGCCCTGAGGATGCGGGCCTCACCTCGCCTGGGCGCGCGGGAGCCCGGTCCGCCGGGGTGGCTGGCCTGGGAGTGGGGGGCCTGGTGGGCGCCGTCCCCCACCCCGGCCCGGTTCCCCAGTCGCCGCGACTTGTTTACACCGAGACCAGCTGCTGCCGCCGCTGCGGCGGGAGGGGGAGGGGGCCAGCCCCTGGGCCCCCGCGGCGCCGCGGCCAATCGGCGCGCAGCATGCAAATGAGGGGGCGCGTCACACCGCGGCCAGCGCAGGCCGGGCTACCCTGCCCCCGCTCCGGCTCGGCCGCCCGGAAATGCGGCTGCCGCCCGCAGTCCACTCGCGGCCCAGCGGCCCGGCCCGGCCCGGCCCGGCCCGGCCCGCCGCTCCTCGGGCCTCCCGCGGTTCTTGAAGGGGCACGTGTCTGAGGTACCTGACCTGCGCGGGGTTCGGAGGGGCACGGTGTCTGGATCACGCCCCCGGGGACAGAGTAGTCATAATGGTCTGCGTTGCCCACCGCCCGGGCCCACCCCCATCCCCGCTGCAGCGTCCGCTGCTGTTCGCGTTGTGCAGAGGTTGTCCGCCTGCAGGAGGCAGAGGTGGCTTCTCGCTGTGGTCCAGCCCGCGGTCTGGGCCTTGGCACCAGGGACAGCCGCGGAAGGCAGGAGCTAAAGGTGTGGTCGGTTAGACCCGGGACAGCGCCTGGGAACAGGCGAGCCCCGCTGAGCATCACCTCCTCCAGGTGCGGCTCCTCTGCAGGCGGAGCTGGGGTCTGCTGTGGGCTCCCCTGAGTGTTGACACACGTGGGCCGTGCTAACCTTGTCGTGTTCCCTGCACGGGCCCTGGCCCGGCCGGGCCCAGAGTCGTCCATAAGCTTGTAAAAGCCGGTTTCGTCAATGAGTGACAGACCTACCGGCTGGAGAGGGCTGGGGAACTGGGAGCTTCTGGAACAGGAAGCCTGGGGGGGAAGGTTGGCGTGGGAGGCAGCAGGTGGTGCTGAGGACCCGCGGTCCCCCATGCCCACCTGTGCAGCCAGGTGTGGAGGCTCAGGGGGTCAGCCAAGGCCCCCCGCTGTGGGCCTGGCGCTCTCAGAAGAATGGACCCATTATCTGTGGCTCTGAAGGGACATTCCTAAGGAGAGTGGAGGCCAGGCTGGCACAGGGTGTGGCATTACTCTGGGTCTGGAATGTGGTTGAACCAGTGGGTCAGGCTAGTTCCGGGCCCCAGACTCCAGCCTTAGGCTGCCATCTTTAGAGTTTTCTAGCATCTCTGACACCCGGACACCCTCTACCCCCTAAAAAGAATGCAAAAAGGCTTGACTAAAAATAAAATATTTATTGGGAAAGAGAAACATTGTTGAGGGCAAGGGCCTCAGGCTTAGGAGACGGGGGCCGCTGCTCTGTGGTTGTCCAGGTAGCGCCTCAGGGCTGTGGGGTAATCAGTCATGACGCCAGTGGCCCCCAGACTGTAGGCCACTTCAAAATCCGACTCTTCATTAAGGCACCAGAATACCACCTGAGCGGGGAGAGAGGCACCGTTTCCAAACAGCTTGACCTGGAACTCCCCATTGCACCCAGCTGGTCAGGGCTCTCTGTGGAGGCCTCCCCGCAGCGGAATGCTGGGGCGCTGATTGTTCAGTTTCCAGAAATTTTTCAAATTGGTTTTGGACACACCCATTATTAAGTATTAAATTGCATAAACTTGCAATTCCGTAAACCGTATTAAAAACAAAGGCAATAAAACCTAAAAACTCATCACTTCCTCATACTTCCATTTTACTATCACAATGCCCTGGAGATGATTTATGTCTGTCGAATGTGTCCGGTGGAAATACTCTGCAAGGATGTGCTACCTCGCATCTCTTCCCCGCTCCGTCCAGTGACTTCATACTGGTAGCCTGAAATCGGCCGAGGCAGTATATACGCCACGGAAAGCCAGTGGTGGGCTGTTTGCCAGCAGGCCAGCGCCGCCAGCCTGCCCGCACCTGCTGCTGCTCTCCCTGCCCTGACTCCTGAGTCCTCTCCTGTGGGCACCGACATAGGTGGGGCCGGGATCTGTGCCCTGTGCAGGCCAGTGGGCCTCTGGGTTTCCTAATGTGACAGCTGAGCGTTCAGGTCCAGCCTCCTAGAGTTGAGGTGAAGCCCCCATGAGTGGGAGGGCTCATTCTCACCTTCATCCAATCAGTGGCTGGTCTGTAAGCTCTTCCATCCATCCCCACTGTTAGCACTGGAGCCCAAATCCTGTCCGTGGCAGCATCAGCCTCCTCATGAGACTCCGCTTCCACTGTGGCCCCCACAGTCACTTCGCCACACGGATGACCCTCACTCAACAAATCTCAACTGGGTCAGGGCTCTTCCTGCAAAAGCTTCCCCTCCCTTTGGGCAGAAGCCCAGGCTCCTTACGGAGGAGGCCCTCGGGGTTGCCCTTCTCCAGCCCCCCTGGTGCCGCCTCCTCCGGGCTGCCGCGGCGGGAGCCCTCTCTGCTTCTCAGACTGCCAGCCTCTAGCTCCTCTGGGCCTCCCCACGGGAGCCTCCCGCCTGAGTGCTCTCCCTTGTCCGCCCCTGGAGCCAGCGCCTCACTTCTCCCAGAGGCCTTCTCTTCTCTGACCCCACAGGCACCGCACTTGCCTTTCCTGTCCACGAGCTGCCCCTGTGCTGGTGATGGCCTGCTTCCTTCCCCTCCTGCCCCGGTAAACTCCCTGCTCAGTACCGTAGTGCCCGTAGTGCCCGGAATATATGCTCAACCAAGGTTTGCTAATTAAATGACCTGGTCACAGCTGAAGCTTGGGAGCAGGAGGAGGTGAGCAGGCTCCTGTTTCTCTACTGTCTTTGCCCAGCCCCTCATCGGGGTCAGGACAGTTCAGTACATCACCATAATGGCTAGCATTTACCAGGCCCTTGCTAAGTACCAGTGATATGCCCAGAAGAGCTAACTCTGTCATTATCCCCATTTACAGTGAAGAAACCAGGCTCTGAAGGTGACCTGCCCCAGCCGCCAGCCGGTCAGCAGCAGAGCTGTGGCTGGAACGCTGTGCCAACCCGCGCCGGGAACTGGGGTAGCGAAGCCTCACCTGCACTCCTCGCTGCTCCAGGTGTTGGATCAGACTTTTCCTCATGATGAGCCTGGTGGGGAGGGGGTGGCCAAGGTCAAGATGGGGGGGACTGAGGAGAAGGGCGGAGGCAGGTCTCTTTGGGGACACTCCACCCAGCCGTCTCGCCCACCTCACCATTTAGTAACCACGGCTGTCAGCTTGTTCAGCCCCGAGCAGGAGAATGGGAAGTAGGTCCTGTAGAGAAGGGGTGTCGTGGTCAGTCCATGGGTCTCTCTCCGTCACGGGGGTGGAGAGTGGGGGTGGTCCTGATCCCTGACCAGTGAAACCTACCCCCTCTAAAAGAACCTTTGCAGCCCTGGCTAGTTTGGCTCAGTGGATAGAGTGTTGGTCTGTGGACTGAAGGGTCCTGGGTTCAATTCCGGTCAAGGGCACATTCCCTGGGTTGTGAGCCCTCACAGGGGGTGTGCAGGAGGCAGCTGATCAATGATTCTCTCTCATCATTGATGTTTCTATCTCTCTCTCCCTCTCCCTTCCTCTCTGAAATCAATAAAACATAAAAATAAAAAAAAGAACCTTTGCAGTTGCCCAAACAATCCACCCTTTGTTCAGTGAGATCTACTCCTACATCCTTGACTCCATGCTTTGAGGGTGTGCCCACCCCTCACTGTTTCTCAGAAGCGGAAACTCAGTCTTGGAGAGTTTGATTAACTTGCCCGAGGTCACGTGCAAGGCTGTGGTGGGGCCAGGGCGGAAACCTAGCTAGATTCCCCAGCTGGACACAGTCTGGAGGTCCTCCCGGTTGGGCCTGACCAGCTTCTGAGAACAGACAGCGTTTAATGGGTCGGCTGCTTGCCCCTGCTTGCCCCACTCCAGGGGAGACTTCAGAGCCCGGCCACAGTGTCCCAGGGCAGGCCAGGCCCCCCAGGGCAGGCCAGGCCCCGGACTTCTAGCTGTATCACCTCGAGCAAGTTACAGAAGCTCTGAGCCTCAGATTCTCCATGTTCTGTGGGTCATGATTCCTATAACTCCTGGGGGTGCTGCCAAGTAAAGCTCAACTGACGAAAGGGTGTGGAAACACTGTAAATCCTGCATAAAAATTCTGTACACAAAGTTCTGTAGAATAATGATGTCTTTGTAGCAAAGGGTTGTGGGGGCTGGCTGGGCGCTTCTCATGGCAGCAGAAAGCACTGGGCCACCACAGCCGAGCTCTCTGAGAGCAGGTGGGGGGGGGGGGGGCGAGAGCTGGCGAAGTATCCACATTCCCCATACGTCCCCCAGATGTTACTTTGTTAATCCTTGTTTCCCCGCAGGAGAACACTTGCTTTTCCTTTGGGGCATCAGAGTGATGCTACAATTAACATGCGTCTCCCTAGCCAGACTGTATGCTGAGGGCCTTGCCCCACCCACACTGGTCTTTATTACTGGTGTTCCTGCACCTGGAAGAGTCGGCAGTCAATAAATACTAGGTGGATGAATGGATGAGTAAGTGAACCTTTTGTCCCAAAACACTATCCACACCTACATACCAGTACATTTGCACTGAATTTCAGAGGGTTCATGGTCCTCTTAGTATCCTGAGAGCTGGGTGAGAGCCCCTGTCTTCACAGTGCTGTGGGGGTTATCCTGAAGGTGGCTGGGGACCCTACAAAATGGGGCTTGAGATGGGGGGTCGGGTTTCTAAGGACAGAAGCAGCTGGAAGCCTGGGGGAGGATGGAGAAGGGAGATGGGGACCCTGTAGGTACCTGTTGATGATGGTGGGCAGGAAACACAAGAGAAACTTCTCAGGGATAGGAACAAAGGGCAGCAGCCCCAGGTAATACAGCAGTAACAGCCGGATGACTCGGCATCTGGTGAAGGAGAGCGGCATCTCGGGGTTCTGGGAGGCAATGGGGGGGTGAGAGGAGTCAGTCTGCTCCTGGGGGAGCAGAGAGGCTTGGGCTGCAGGGGAAACAGCTTTGGAATATTCAGGAAACCCTACTATCTGCGGGATCAAAGCCACATCTTGGCCCAGCTCTCAAGGCCTGAATGCACCCTCCCTGTTCCCAGCAGCATGACTTGACTTGGCTCACATACTTCCTCCACCACCTCACCTCTCCAAATCCCCCAGAACCCCCAGACCCCGCCAGCCTAGGCCCCCAGGTTGGGCAGGGCTCCAGCCCCTGGGAGGAGGGGCTGCAGGAGCAGGGAGGGAAAGGGCCTCACAGCAGCCTTGCACTTCTTCATGATTGAGCTCTTCTCTGAGGCCCAGATGGTGATTTCATTGCGGTCAAAGTGCCTCACCAGGCTGGCTATCTGGAAGGAGGAGGAAGGAGATGAAAGGGAGTTAGGCCTCTCCCCAGGCCGGGCCCTCCCCACCGTGCCCACAGCACCACCTTGTGAATGAGCTTCTCGTTTTCCTCTTTGACCTCCACACTCATGGGCATGCGAGGGAACCTCTGGAAAACATCCTCCAGACGCACCATGTGCCTGTCTGACCCATGTGCGAAGTGGCCTGGGGGTTATGGGGAGAGAGCAGAGGAGGACGGGTGGGTGGGAGTGGGAACCCAGGGGACGAGGGGCAAGTTCCAGAGCAGAGAGGGCAGAGGTTGAGGCCATGGCCCCTCGGCTGGCCCAGCCCAGGGCTCACCCCCATGCTCTTACCTGGTGAGAAGTAAACCTCCAGCTCCTCCTTGTAGAGGGGCAGCTCCTGGGGAGGCAGGGGCATGTCACCAGGAGGCTCAGTGGGGGCTCCCTGGGTCTGGGGGGGCTAGGGCAAGGCCCACCTCAAAATCCAGGCTGCCCACATCCTTGTTCACGCCTGACTGGCGGGACAGGTTCTCGTCATGGGAAACCACCACCACACCGTCCCGGGTCAGCTGACAGTCCAGCTCCAGGAGGTCTGAGCGCTGGGCCATGGCGCTAAGGGAGCGAAAGTCAGTGGGCTGTGGGGCACAGGGTGGTGGGAGGTTCAGGGGAGCGGGGGGGCAATTTAAAGCGGGATATGCAGCCGGCGCGATGCCTCCCGGGGCTCCATCACCCAGACTAGGAAGTGCATGGCACCCCTTGGCTTCAGGCCGCACACAGCTGGCACGACCTCGCAGCTCGGCTGGGCGGGCGCACTCACTTCTCCATGGCCTCCATGGTGTTCTCCAGCCTCTCTCCAGATCCTGTGTGGGGCAGCGCGGTGGGTCCCTGGGGCTGGGCCCCTTCCTCCCCCCTGGCCCCTGCCTCATCACCCCGTCAGCCCAGGTGGGCAGCCTCCTTTCCTCCTCCCACATCCTGCCCTGTCACCTGCTCTCCTCCTACCTCGGTCTGCCCTCTTCCTAACATCTGGCCCCTTAGACCAACCCTCTCTGCTGTCCACCTTGGCACGTGTCTTGCTCTCCCTAGTCCACCCTCAGTAGCCTACAACCCCCCACCCCCCAGCTCACCTCCCCGGTGGGCCCCCAGGCGGGGACAGAAGGCCGGAACCCCAGGTGTGTGCAGCAGGCGAGGCCGGCGCAGGAAGAAGATGGAGAGCGCGGCATAGCTGCCCAGGGCGGGCAGGGCATAGTACAGCACAGAGCTCATGGCCCCTGCCTCCCGGGCTCCGGCTGCCGCCAGCTCAGCTGTCGCCGGTGAACTGTGTTGCCTTGCCGATTGCCTGGCTGATGTAGGCTGATTCCACCACTGGTCACCACCACGCCCCTGGGACCTGCTCAGCCTGCTGCTGGCTCAGCGCCAGGCTGCAGGGCTCAGCTGGTGATGGAGTACAGGCGGGAGGCGAGGCCAAGCAGCTCTGGCCCTCACACTGCAGACCCTCCGCAGATGGCAGCGCCCCTCTGCTTGACAACACTGGGGAGTCAGGTTCCCCACACGTCTGCTAGAACCTCCCCCCTGACCACTTGTGCATGTGGCCAGGGGCTACCATCCCTTCCATTCTAGAAAATCCAGGGGTGTGTAGGTGCCGGAATCACCCCGGAATCACCCCAGCCAGTTAGGAAGACATCAGAGAGGGGAGCGGACGGTGGCTGAGGGGAAAAGTGACCCCCACTCTGTCTAGGAGGTGGAGCTTCTTACACCCCCATCTTCAACCCTGGCCAGCGGGGGGGCCAGAGGTGCCCGGGCCAGGTAAAGCCACAGCTGGAGGCAGCTGGGCTGGAGGGTCAGTCTTCAAAGCAGCCATGGCGAGGGGCACGGCATCGGCAAACACAGACAGAGCCAGGGCCACATATACACATCTCTATATTTATATATTAGATACAGGCACAGGCGGGCAGGGGCCCCGGGCTCTCCACGCCCCCGCCTCCACTTCTGCTCACCCACACACAGAAGCAGCAGGAGTTAGATGTGGCAGCTTAGGGGGAGGGGGCTTAGGCAGGGCCCAGCTCCTCAAGGATACTAGCCCTTGAGCCTTAGGAATGTTCCTTGAGGGGAAATGGGTGGGGTTTGAATGAGGTGAGTGGGGCATGGCTGGCCCTGAGTCCCGACTCAGTGCGCCCTATCCCCCACCGTCCCTCAGGAGGTCACAGGGCAGCCGGAGCCCTTCGATTCCAGAACCACCAGAGACTGGGACAGCTGGGGGAGAGGAAGGCCGAGCAGCTGAGGGGAATCTGCTTTGGGGCCACCTGAGCCACAGGTCCTAGGAGCGGGGAGGGAGGGGGCCTGGGCCTGCCTGAAGCCGGAGGCCCGAGCAAAGCGAGGGAAGATGGCCAGGCCCGCCCTGTCCCGACCCTGGGCTGCCGGGGTCTGGGCTGGGCACAGTGTCCATTTTCTAACAGTCCAGCAGGGGAGGGCAGACAGGAGGCAGGGCCTAAACGAAAAGGCAGGCAGGAAAGGAACCATTAGCACCAGGAGAGCACCTGCCGGAGCTCTGACCTCAACCCCTTTCGTTTCATCCCTACAGTTGAGTGAGATGTGCCTGTTTCCTCATAATGGGGACAACCTTAGTACCTGTCTCATGGTTCTGCTGCAAGGGTGAGATGAGCTCATACACAGAAACATCTAGAACAATGCTTAGTGCTCTGTGTTTGCTCTCATTAGCAGGACTGTCCCCAGGAAATGGAGCTGCAGAAGTGAAGTGTCTTGCACAATATCACACAGCTCTTACTACGTGTCAGACCTGGGGTTTGAGCGCAGGTGTGTCTGCCCGCCCTCTATCAGGCTCCAGCTGGCGAAAGACCGGAAGTGACGAAGGAGGGAAGAGCAGTGTGGGTCAGAGTCCCCCCAAGGTGTGTGAACTGCTGACCTGGGCACCAGGTGTGAGAAAGCGTGGTATCTGGGTCAGGCTGAGAGCTGCTAGCTCCTCCCAAAGCAATTGCGGCCCCACCTGCCGTACTGGGAGGGGCAAAACCTGGCTCCAGTCCTCAGATGGGTGAGAGGGGCCCTCAGTGACCTCTAGGGCTGGAGGCAGCAGGGTGTGGACAGATGGGAGACATTTGGGGCTGGGGGGAAGGAGGGACATGAAGACTGGCAGGCCACAGGTCTATGGCCTGGGCAGGCTCTGGCCCTTCTGTTGCGACCACAGACATGGATCGTGGGCATGAGCTTTGACTGTACAGGATGTTTGGTACCCTGGTCCCAGAGTGAATCAGCGCGTGGGCGGTGGGGCGCACTCACCCAGCCCCGGGGAGCGGAGGCATCTGTTCAGGTTAGGTGGCCTCCAGCACCCCAGGCTGGAAGCGGGCTGTCTCCTGGAATATGAGCTCCTTCAGCCGCTCCTTGGGTAGATCATCCAGCTCCATGTCAAAGGTGAAAGGTTCCTCGGCCACTGGCTAGGGTGGCACAGATGTGAGGCTCAGGCCAGGTACTGAGGGATGCCTACCCACCCACTTACCCACCAGGCCTGCTCCTGGTGGCTGACCCACCTCATCTGTTGGGTCGTAGTACTGCTCCAGGTAGGGGTGAGCCAGGGCTTCTTCTACTGTGATCCGTTTATTAGGGTTAAAGGTCAACATCCGGTCCAGCAGGTCAAGGGCTAAGGAAGGGCAGGAATCAGGGGTCAAAGGGAAGGCTCGGGAAGTTCCTAGAAGTACTGTTTTGCTTCTCTGTGCCCAGCGGGCCTGTCTACTCAGGCAGCTGCTGGGCTTGCACCCAGCTTTCACCCCCCGTCAGCCCCCATGTCGCTCTCACCTTTGGAGTCGGACTTGGGGAAGAGCTTGGCCCAGGCCACCTTGGTCTTGGGAGGCAGAGACTGCAGGTAGTTCCGGGCCTTCATGTTGATGATACAATTCAGGTCCTCTTGGGATGGGGAACCCAGGATGCCTATGGGTAGGGCAGGTGACTTGGTGAGAGATCCTCTCTCCCTTCTGGGAACAGAAGGAGCCAAGAACAGGAGCTCCCACAACCCATCCCATGCCCTGACAGTTATCTCCAGCCAATACTATGATGATGAAGCCAGGGGTCTGGGCTCGGGCAGCCCTCAGTTCAGATCTCAGCTCCAGCACTTCCTTGCTTTTCCCATGTGCCAGCGGGAGAGCATCTATATCACTGACATACTGTGAGGTGCTGCAGAGGCTCCAAATGTGGCGGGACCCCTGATCCGACTCCCACACTCACTGACCCTGACCCCAAAGAAATCTCACTTCCAACAGACTAACCTCCCTTCCCCTCAGCTGGCCAGGCCCCCTCACCCAGAATGTGGTTGAGCTGGTCCAGGTAGTGCTTGCCAGGGAAGATGGGTCGGTTGGAGAGCATTTCAGCCAGAATGCAGCCCACAGACCAGATATCGATGGACTTGGTGTAGCCCTGGGGAGGGGGAGAAAGTGGTGGGCCCCGGGGCCGCCTCAACAGGTCCCTGTTGTCTGGGCCAAGCCACCCCCCCAACCTGGATTCAATGCTGCAGGAGGCAGAGAGCAGAGCCTGGGAAGAGCTGGTGCTTAGCTTCTTTCCAGACCCCAAGGACCAGAGTAACGTGACCCGGCCCAGGGGGTCCCTGCCTGGCTCAGAGGTGGCTCCAGGGCTTCCGGGGACCTGGCCCCTTCCCTTTGGGGGTGGGTGGGCCCCCTACCTTGGAGTTCAGCATGATCTCTGGGGCCCGGTACCAGCGCGTGGCCACGTATTCTGTCAGGAAGCCAGTGTGGTCATGCTCGGGATCGGCGATCCGGGCCAGGCCAAAATCGCAGATCTGGAATCCAACCGGGGCTGCTAAGCTTGGTGCTCAAGGCCTCCCCGCCCGAGCAGTCATTTCACCATGCCCCTGCCCATGCTGTTCCCCTGGCTGGCAGTGCCCTCCTGCTCCGGGGGGCTATGAATCAAATGGAAGCCCCAGACCCCGGCGGGAGGAGGGAACAGGCACCCGGTCCCCTGACCTTAAGGTCGCAGGTGGTGTTGATGAGCAGGTTGGAGGGCTTTAAATCCCGGTGGAGCACGTTCGCTGAGTGGATATACTTGAGGCCCCGCAGGATCTGGTAGAGGAAGTAGCAGACGTGGTCGTTGCTCAGCTGCTGGCTTTTGAGCAACTTGTACAGGTCTGTCTCCATCAGGTCCTGCACGATGTAGCTGAGGATGGTATCGGAGACCCCACAGGTGGGGGCAGCAGGAGGCACTTGGTTAAGAAGAACGGGCTCTGGTGACTAGGCCCCGCATGCCCTCCAGCTGGCGCCCCTCAGACTCAACAGATCTGCCAACCCCCATTACAGGCTGGGCAAGGCCCAGGCTCTCAGCCTCTGCTGCATCTCAGCTGGTGACCTGAGCAAAAGCACTTCAGTTCTGCGGGAGGCAGAACTCCAGCGAAGAGCGGCAGCTCTGGGGTTCACCTGCTGTGTCTGAAATCCCCACCCCCTGCTCATTGGTTTTACCACCTCAACCTGTCTGCACCTCTATTTCCTCGTCTGAAAAGTAGGAAAAAGAATGGTTCTTTCGAGAGTGGTGGTGACGATGAGATGAGATGACCCATGTAAAGAAGCCAGCCCAGCGCTTGGCACGCTGTAAGTGTTCAGCAACATGAACTCGTGTTGCTATTATAAATGCCTGAGCCACATGGCTGTTGAGAGGGTTAAATGAGATAATGTATGCATACCATCTGGCATGCAATAAATGTTTGCTTAAAAATAAATGTCTACCTTATGGGAATGGTTTGTGCAAGACAAATGAGGAGACACTCCCAACAGCACGCTCCTGTTCAAAGAGTGCTTGGCCGTGCATCAGAAGAGAGAGGAGTAAATGTCCTGAGATAATTTAAGATTAAACTTGCATGCATGCATACATACATACACACGTCTCGTGGCTTGTCTCTACAAGAATAAGGGCTATCTTCTAGAATCAGCCCCACAGGGCCTTCTGAGAACATGTGGGCCAACCCTGTTTTATAGATGAAGGTGCTGAAGGTCACACGGTGAGCTGGGAGTGAGCGTGGAGGTTTCCTGCCCGCAGTTTGTGGTGGGGGCCTGCAGACGCCGCGGTACCAATCCCCATGCTTGGGTGGAGAACTGGGACTGA